GCAAGCTACTTAACCCTCACAGTCTCCCGTCGCTCCGCTTCAAACAACATGCAAGAATGTGGTTGACCCATTTTCTGGACCACGTAAAGAGAATTGGGCACGTAGATTCTACCCAGTCCGGCCCCGTCACAGACCACACTTTCAAGGCACCCTCCAGCTCATGCCAGCATCGGCGCTCGCCCTTGGGTTCCGGGATTGGGTCGCAAAACTCACGGGAAGTGTCGATCCAGAGTGCTATAGCCTCGTTGACGTTTTGTAGCGCAACTTCTTGTGTGTCGCCGTGCGCCATACATCCGGGAAGCTCCGGCACTTCGGCAACAAACGTGTCGTCAGCCTTGCTCCAGTAAATTATGATCTCGTATTTGTACATCAGTCTTCCTCGTGTCACCCCGGGCCAACTGCGCTGGCCTTGGCCTGGCAGAAGAATAGCGACTCTCACGACAGACCGAAACCGAGCGCCGTGTTTGTAAGTATATCATGCGCTCTGCCGGTGCAGTCGCAGTGCACGTAGACGCAGCCGTCAATGACGATCTTGATGTTATGCGGGTATTTCACCGCCCAGTCGGTATCCCCCTTGCCCATATGGCGGCCCCAGTACTCGCGGAAGAGGACGACACGCCCGGCCTGATCGATGTATGCCTCGGACAGCTCCGCCTGCTCGCTGGGGGGTGAGCCGGCGGTGTCCCAGACGCGCAGGCAGTGGAACGTTCTGGCGCCGATGGTAACATCGTAAGTTCCCGCGCCGATGCTCTGTCCGTCAGTGGTGCGAAAGGTGCCGTCCGGTTGGCGCTGATAGCGGCCATTGTCACAGATCTTGCGCTTTTCGCCCTGGCCCCAGTCGGCCGCGAACCACTCGTCCCGAAACGTCCGCAGCACCTTTCTGTCGTCGAACTGCTGCACGACGCCGAGCCATCTCGTCACTTCCTCGTCGAGCCTGGCATAGAAGAGATGCGGCCTGCCGGGCACATGCCAGTCCTTCCGTATCGCCCGCTCTTGCACCGCGATTTCGACGCAGTCCAGGTCATGGACTCTGGCAGGGCCGGTAACGACCATCTCGGTCACCGCGCTCAGCTCGAGCGTATCCGCCTCGTAGGTGGCCTGCATCGACGGTCGCCGGGGGAGGGAATTATCGGCCACCATTGCAGCTCGGGAAGATCGATCTGTGTGATCTTTGTTGTCGCTTTGGGCGATGGTCAATGCCGGCCGGATCGCCGGGAAGGGGTGACGGAATGACATTTCGATCTTGTTCTTGTGGTCTGCAGCTTTGCTTGCACTTGAAGAACCGTCCCGGCTTCATCAAGCAGGCGTTGACCTTAGCACAAATGGTCGATTCAGGCAAGTGCCGGTAGGGGGTCTTCAGGGCAAACGCATCTTAATTCGGACGCCAAAATAGCCGACGAAGGGCGCCCACAAGGGGGGGAGGGCACCCACAAGGGGTGCCCCTACCTTCATTTTTCGGCCAAGAAACTGGCCTCCAGTCGCCAAAGACGTATGGAATTTGCGATAGCGCACTACGATCTGCACAGTTCCAGGCGTTATGCCCTGAGAAGGGCGCCCACAAGGGGCGCCCTTCTCGATTCAGGCAGCCTCACATGGTTTTGTCCCAATTTGATGCAATTGCCCTGGGGAGGTCGTGCATCCAAAATGGTTGGGACGTTGCGATGTGCCTTTTCAACCGAAACGGAAAGATTGATCAAGAATAGAACCATGGCCTACAATCCTGAAATTCCTGCAATCCCGAGAATCCTGGTTCAGACAACAATTGCCCACAGATCTGGGACAGATCCCCCTGATTTCAGGCGTTTTGAGGTGGAAAAAATATATTTTATAATAGCCACGAATTCGCTTGGTGGCTCTTTCCCGAAAAGGAGGGCGCCTCTCCAATGAAAGACGACAATCTCACCTGCCGTTGCGCAATGCCGCCTCAAGGCTGGAGACCGCGCAGTTCCGCAGCGAAACATGCAGCGCCACCTAGCCTGCGCGCCGGCAAGAGTCGTCGAGTACGTGACGATTCTCGGCATGATCCGATGCCGCCCACACAGCGAACGTGACCAGAGCGAGAAAGAGAGTGAAGAGCCATGGATGAAAGCCGCCGCCAAAAGATTCTCGCCCGGGGACGACCGGGGCCGTTCTGGCCTGCCGAACCGCTGCTGGGGGGATGGTATACGGAAGAGGAAGTGGAAGCTGCCACCAAGGCGATCCGGGACTCGATGGATCCTACTACGGTAGGCTTCGGCTTCATCTGCCCGGAGATCCTGGAATTCGAAGAAGGGTTTGCCAAGTACTGCGGGGCGGCTGAAGCGATATCGATTAACGGCGCTGGAACCGGCCTGGATATGGCAATGATGTGTCTGGATCTGGAGCCGGGTGACGAGGTGATCGTACCGGCCATCAACTTCCGGGCGGCGGCGATGGCGGTAATCGGACAGCGCGGTCAGGTAGTCTGGTGCGAGGTTGATCCCCGGACCTTTAACATGGACCCGGCAGACGTGGAGAAGCGCATCACGCCGCGCACGCGCGCCATCTTCCCCGTCCACATGAACGGGCTGTCGGCGGACATGGATACTTTGCAGGAGATTGCAGAGCGCCATCCCCATCCGCAGCATGGCCCGCTCAAAGTGGTTGGGGACGCGGCCCGCGCCGGCGCCGGCGGGTACAAAGGTACCAAGATCGGCGCAAAGGGCTGGATGACGGTTTTCAGTTTCCACACGATGAAGCTGATGACCACGCTGGGCGAAGGCGGGGCTGTCACCACAAATGACGCGGAGATGGCCGTCAAGTTGCGCGGCATCCGGCAGTTTGGATCGGCGCATGACGGCTGGGGCACGAATTACAAGATTACCAAGGTGCAGGCGGCGGTCGGCCTGGTGCAACTGCGGCGTCTCGACGAGATGACCGCGCAACGGGTGAAGGCGGCCAAACAGCGGGACGAACTGTTGCGGGGCATTCCCGAATTGACGCTGCCTTACGAGCCGGCCGGGTATGATCATACTTATTACCTGTACACGATGCTGGTACCGCGCGCGTGGGCCGGGGCGAAGCGCGACCGTCTCATGCAGATAATGAATGAAGAACACGGGGTCGGGTGCGGGGTGTACAACCGGGCGGTCTATGCGGATTCAACGTTCCTTCGTGAGCAGACTGCCGGCCAGGAACTGCCCGACTCCGATGAACTCAGCGCGCGCTTATTTTGTATGGCCTTGCACCCGCTCATGAAGGAGGAGGAGAACGAGTATATGGCTGCGGCCTTTGTGGGACGCAGTGGGGCAGGTGCGAAGCGAAGAGTGATGGACAGTAGAATTGGAAAGGGGGTGGAAGAGGTCACAGCAGTCTACGTGCTTGCTGCGCGAATCGTTTCCCGTGTCTGTATTTAGTTTCCGCCCGACAGCGGCGGAGGGCCGGTTCGCCCACACCATTGGGCAAGACCCAACTACCCAGACGGCGAGGTTTCTCGCCCCCTGTACTGGAGGTGACAGCATGAATGCAAAGAGGCTAACGCGCCGCGATATTCTCAAGGGCGCTACTATAGGAACTGTCGGTGTTGCCATGGCAGCCTGCGTCCCCGCGCAGACGATGGCACCTGGCGACGACATGCCCGCCGAAGAAACCATCACGCTGCGTTTCATGTCCCGACCACACTCGCAGAAGGCACAGGAGGTATTTCCTGACATTATCAAGGACAATTTCACTGAGAATACGGATCCCCAGATCAATGTCAATGTTGAGACAGCTGCAAGCGGCTGGGCGGACAAGCTGGTGACGTCGATGATCGCCGGCGATGCGGTCGATATCTTCCAGGCCTGGCCCGACATCTTCTATGTCTGGGGTCGCCAAGGACCTGATCCTGGACATCCAGCCCTACGTTGACCGCGACCTGACGGAAGAGGATCTGGACGACTTTATCGAGGCCCAGTGGACCAGGCTGCGCATCCGGGGCATTCGCGTGGGCATGCCCAAGTACATCGATGTGCGCTGCATGGCCTACAACAAGGATGTTTTCGATGAGTTCGGTGTTGACTATCCTACCAACTTTGGCGCCGATTGGGACTGGCAGGAGTTGACCAACATGGCTGAGGCGCTTACCCATGATCGCGACGGCGACGGCACGACGGACGTCTGGGGCACGCGGCTGATCGCCACTTCCTCGGCGGAGTTCTTCGGCTGGCTGCGCAGCTTTGGGGGCGACTACGTCAATCCCAACGACGACACTGACTGCTGGCTGGATGAACCTACCTCACAGCAGGCCCATGAACTGGCTGTACGAGAACATGTGGGTCAAGGAGCCGAATCCATTTATCCGACCGGAGGACGTGAGTGGGACATACGACGACTTCGTGTCCGGGCGGGTAGCCATCCCCTGGTTCAATGTGCGGCCGGCGCAGCAGGCAGAGCAGGTTGGCCAGCAGATAAACTGGGACTACGCACACGTGCCCAGCGGGCCGGTGCAGCGCAATGCGCTGGGCGATGCCGATGCCTGGTCGATCTGGAAGGGCAGCAGCTATCCTGACGAAGCGTGGGAATTCATCAATTTCCTGGCAGGCCCCGTATTCCACGAACTGGGCACGCTGCGTTCGGAAGGTTCACTGCCGATACGCAAGTCGCTCTTGGCCAAGGCGGTCGATGTCTACCGTGAAGAGTTCCCCTCGATTGCGGACAAGCACCTTGAAATCATCCCCGAGATGACGGAAATGGGCTATCTGGAGAATGTGATCTGGTTCAAGGACAACGACGCGGCGATGGAACTGATCGGCCCGGCGATGGAGAGGGTCTTCAATCTGGGTGCCGAGGATCCGAGCCATTTGATCGAGGTTTGCGCGGAGGTGGAAGCGTACCAGGCCAGCCTGGAATAACGAAGAGTGAGAGGGCAGGAGTGAGGAGAGAGAACAACTCTGTCTCCTCACTCTTTTCGCACTCTCCTCACAGTGGGAGGAACTATGGCGCAAGCAGTCTCTGGCGGTTCGCCGGCGCCACGCCGGTTTACCCTTTCGCCGCAAGCCCGTATGAACATTGCAGGCTACCTCTTCATCTCCCCATGGATCATCAAATTTCTGACGCTCAACGCCGGCGCGATGCTTGCCTCGTTTGGGATCAGCCTCTTCAAGACGGACTTTTTCACGACTTTCGAATTCATCGGTCTTAAGAACTACACGAGGTTGTTCAGCGATCCCCTGTTCTGGAAGAGTCTCTCGGTCACCGCATATTACGCCTTCGGCATGGTGCCGCTTGCGCTCGTCTTCTCGCTCGTGATCGCTTTGCTGCTGAATCAGGGCATCAAGTTGCAGGGGGTCTATCGCGTCGTCTATTATCTGCCCTCGATAGTTTCGGGCGTTGCGGTCGCCATCCTGTGGAAGTATCTGCTCCAGCCGCGCTGGGGGTTGATCAACCAGGGATTGGCGCTGGTGGGGATAGAGGGCCCGAAGTGGCTCTTTTCCACGACGTGGGCGATGCCTGCCTTCATACTGATGGGGGTTTGGGCAGCGGGCGGGAATATGCTGCTGTACTTGGCAGGTCTGCAGGGGATTCCGACCGATCTGTACGATGCGGCCTCTATAGACGGGGCCAACGCCTGGCATCGCTTTTGGCGGATCACGCTGCCGATGCTGACGCCGACCATCTACTTCAATCTTATCATCAGCATTATCGGGGCGTGGCAGATCTTTACACAGTCTTTCATTATCACGGCGGGAGGGCCTGACAACTCCACGTTGACGATGGTTCTTCTGCTGTACCGCAAGGGATTCCAGCAGTTCCACTTCGGATATGCTTCGGCCATTGCCTGGGTACTCTTCGCGATCGTGATGCTCTTGACGGTGCTGGTAGTGCGCAGCTCGGAGGCTTGGGTCTACTACGCGGGAGAAGTAAGAGGATGATCAGGGGACAGTCGCTGCCAGCCATTCAGCGGGGTAAGGGCCGAATCCGGCTTGAGCATATCGCCGGTCGCACCGTGCTGTATGTGGTCATAACAGTGGGAGCGTTTATCTTTTCCACGCCTTTGCTGTGGATGATCTCGACCTCGTTGAAATCCCCTGAACTGATCAACCGCATCCCCATTGTCTGGATTCCGCCCGAATTGCGCTGGGCAAACTACATTGATCCATGGCGGGAGATGCCGTTCCTGCTATTCTACATGAACACGATCTTCATCACGGTTACGAACACTGCCGTCATACTGATCACCAATTCACTGGTGGCCTTTGGATTCGCGCGCATTCCGTTCAAGGGTCGCACGATCATCTTTTTCGTTCTTCTGGCAACGATGATGCTGCCGCCGCAGGTGACCCTGATTCCTACTTATCTGTTCTGGAGTCGTCTACATTTGGTCAATACGTTCTGGCCGATCATGGCGCCGGAATGGTTGTCGGCGGCTTATGACGTCTTTCTGATGCGGCAGTTCTACATGACGATTTCGACCGACCTGGATGAGGCGGCGCGAATCGACGGCTGCAGTTGGTTTGGCATTTACCGTCACATCATCCTGCCCCTGTCAAAGCCTGTTATCGGCGTTCTGGCGATATTGAATTTTTCCTTCAATTGGAACAACTTTATCACCCCCCTAATTTATCTGAATGACTCCAAGTTGTTTCCCATTGCGTTGGGTCTGCGTCTGTTCGAAACGCAGATGGGAGGCGGCGACACCTATGTCAGGCTTGGGCCGCTGATGGCCATGACGCTTGTGTCGATCATCCCGCTCATGATCGCTTTCTTCATCGCCCAACGCTACTTCATTCAGGGTATCGTCATGACCGGCATCAAGGGCTAGGTCGCTGGATGCGCAGCCGCCAAGAGCGAGCGCGGTTGACAAGGAGCAGTGGGTCGCGATCTCTCGTGATCTCTCGTGCGACGCTCGGGCGAGGGTCGTCAAGCGCTGGCAGCACCAAATCGGTATATTAGCCTGACAAATGCCCCTCCATCAGCGCTAACGCGATAGCGCGCCCCTATTCTGGGAATCACTTTTCCGTTCAACCCGTTTGCTTTTCCCCGTTCACACTGTATATAATGCGGTTGCCTCGCGTAGTGCCGGCTCGTCGATCTGACACTTTCGTCGCCGCTGACTCCTGGTGATTAAAAGAGTTGGCGGCAGGCCAGACACAGAGTCAGCAACGAAATGATCGCATTCATCGTCCGCAGAATCCTGCTCCTGATACCGACACTTTTCTTTATCACCATTGTTACATTTCTGGTGATCGAGTTGCCGCCGGGCGACTACCTGGACGCCTACGCTGCCAACCTTGCGGCCGGCGGCGACCCCGTCGACAGGGAGCGGCTGGAGTCGTTGCGCAAGCAGTTCGGCCTCGATAAGCCGGCACCCTTGCGCTATCTGCAGTGGGTGACCAATATCCTGCGCGGCAACTTCGGTTTCTCCTTTGAGTGGAACGTGCCGGTCGAGACGCTCATCTGGGAGAGGCTGGCGCTGACCTTTTTCATCAGCCTGTCTACCATCCTCTTCACTTGGGTGGTGGGCTTTCTGATCGGCGTCTATTCGGCGGTCAACCAGTATTCGATTGGCGACTACATCTTCACTACGCTGGGCTTTATCGGCCTAGGGCTGCCCAATTTCCTGATTGCGTTGGTGATCATGTGGTACGCGTTCGACCGTTCGGCATGCGGTTGAGCGGGCTGTTCTCTCAGGAGTATCAGGCCGAGCCGTGGAGCCTGGCCAAATTTGGGGACATGCTTACCCACTTGTGGCTGCCGCTGATCATCCTGGCACGTCCGACGCACAGCCGCAATGATCCGCACCATGCGCGCACAATATACGTTGGACGGGTGCAAAACAAGCCTATGTCGAAACTGCCTGCGCGCAAGCGTCTTGATAAGAGCAGGCTGGTGCACGGAAATATCCGGTGCGGGTGGCGCTCAACCCCTTCGTCAGCACGGTCGCTGGACCACTGACCCAATCTGTGATTTCGCGCCACGCGATCGTCTCGGTCGTCTGAAGTACTGCACACCGCGGGCCGATGACCTGCTGCGGAGCGCTGATGACGCAGGACATGTATTTGGCGGCCAGCTTCCTGTTGATGTTGAGCGTGCTGACGGTAGTGGGCACGTTGGTCTCGGACATGCTGCTGGCCGTTCTCGATCCGCGAATCCGCATGGAAACGCAATGAAGCGGATGGACACAGCGCCAGAACTCCGGACTCGTATCAGTGAGGGGAAAATCCATGACGCAGGAACTTGCGGAAGGGCCGCATACCATTCTTCCGGACGACTCGGAGTTTATCGAGGTCCCGAGCGAACGCGAAAAGATTTTTGTTGCTTCGCCGCGGCAGCTGATGTGGTGGCGCTTCCGCCGGCACAGGATGGCGCTGCTGAGCGGCGTCGTGCTGATCCTGCTCTATCTGGTGGCGCTCACGTGGGAGTTTCTGGCGCCGTACGATCCGTTGCGCCACGATGTGCAGTCAGCTTACGCGCCGCCGCAGAGACTGCGATTCTTTGATGAGGAAGGGTTCCCATTTCCACCCTTCGTGTACGGCCTGAAGGGTGAGCGCGATCCCGAAACTTTCCGCAAAATCTATGAAGTGGACAAGTCGGCAAAACATCCGATCAAATTCATGGTGAAGCAGGGCGACCCCTATAGGTTCTGGGGCTTTATAGAGAGCGATCTGCATCTTTTCGGTCTCGAGGACAATGAGGGCACAGTATTCTTGTTAGGCGCGGACCGGTTGGGTCGCGACGTGCTGTCCCGCTTGCTGGCGGCTACAAGGATCTCCGCCTCGATCGGGCTGGTCGGGGTGATCGTCAGCTTCGTTCTGGGCGTTTTGATTGGTGGAATCTCCGGCTACTACGGCGGCACGGCCGACATCGCGATCCAGCGCGTTATCGAGTTTATTCGCGCCATGCCCAGCATCCCGCTTTGGCTGGCTCTGAGTGCGGCGATTCCCAAGGATTGGCCGGTGACGAGGGTTTATTTCGCCATCACAATCATCCTTTCTTTGATTGGCTGGACCGGGTTGGCGCGGGTAGTGCGCGGGCGCTTTCTGTCGCTGCGCGAAGAGGACTTTGTACAGGCGGCGCGCTTTGCCGGCGCGTCGGAGGGGCGCATCATCGTGCGCCACATGACGCCCTCCTTCCTCAGCCATATCATCGCCTCGGTGACTTTGGCCGTTCCCTCGATGATCCTCAGCGAGACCAGTCTCAGCTTTCTGGGCCTGGGCATGCGGCCGCCGGCTCTCAGTTGGGGCGTGTTGCTGCGTGAGGCGCAGAACTTGCAGGCGGTGGCGTTGGCGCCGTGGCTGCTCGCGCCGGGGCTGCTGGTGGTCATCGCGGTGCTGGCCTTCAATTTTGTAGGCGACGGCCTGCGCGATGCCGCCGATCCTTATGCCCGGTGAGGGGCACAGGCGGCAGAGCGCAGGAGAAACAGCTCTATGACGGAATTAATTCAAAAAGACAGGACACGGAAAGATGACGGAGATAGTGGTTGACCCTGCAGAGATAGAATTCTTCCAGCAGAACGGCTATATTCAGTATCACGGCTTCTTTTCGCAAGCGGAGATCGCAACATTGCGCCAGGCGCTGGATGATGCGGTCGCGAGCCGGCGCGAGCGCATACGAGGGGCGGAGAAGGGTGGACGCCACTCGGAGGAGTATGAACGCGTCTTCAACCAGATGGTCAACCTGTGGACCGACTATCCCGCAGGCGAAAGAGATCGCGTTTGACGTGCGTTTGGGTGAGTACGCGCGCCAGTTGAGCCGCTGCCGGCACGTGCGCATCTACCATGACCATGCGATGATCAAGCCGCCGGGCCAGGTGAGCAAGGAGACCAACTGGCACCAGGACGCCCCCTACTGGCCGATGGACCCGGTTGGCGCGCTGTCGGCCTGGATTGCGGTGGATGATGTCAGCGTCGAGAACGGTTGCCTGCAGTTCGTGCCCGGAACGCATAAGCACGGCAGGCTGGAGTCGATCAGCCTCACCACCGAGGGCGAGAGCGTGGTCGAGAGGTTTAAAGAGCAGGGCTATAGCCGCGCCTGAACCGGTAGCGATGCCGATGCGCGCCGGCGGCGTTACCTTTCACCACGGCTGCACCTTTCATTACGCCGGCCCCAACCGCACCGACAAGCCGCGGCGCGCTTTTGCCATCATCTACATCCCGGACTTACACATGTTTTACGGGGGGTCATGACGCGGCCGGCGCCGCGGAAGAGATGGAGGTGGGCGGCCCTGGGAACACGCGATTCATCCGATCATTGCCGGGCAATGACGAATTCGAAGGTCAAGTAGTAGAGTTTGCACCGCTCGAATTCAGATCAGTCAGCGAAGGGTAGTCATCGAAAACCCCGCCGCTTGCGAACGATTTCAACTCGAAATATAGAGGGGGAATTATCAGATGCGTTTATTGAAAATCATAGTCGAAAAGATGAAAGACGGATATGTCGCCTATCCTGTAGGTCTGAAGGGCACTGTTGTGGGAGAGGGGGATACCTTCGATGAGGCCGTAGCCGACATCACCTCTGCGATCAAGTTTCACATTGAGACGTTCGGCGACGAAGAATTCGAGACTGATGAACCGGTGGTGGATGTGGTTATAGCAGAAGCGGGCGTTGCAGTTTGACGGGGCGCTTTCCGGTCGATGCGCCAAGCGAAAAGTGCTCGGAATTCCCAGGAAACTGGTACAGTTCGGATGATGTATCATTACTTCCCATCATAGAATCAATCGAATCACAGAATACACACAAGAGGAATACACAATGGACCAAAAGGACACCGTATCCAAGACACGCTCAACCGGACGCGGGCCGACCATTTGGCTGGCCGGGCCGCCGGCAGAGCTTGTGGAGTTTATGCCCATGGGCATCGCCGGCATCGTCACCAACACGGTGGTGCTCAATCTGTACGCCAAACCCTACGGCAGCGTCATCGCGCTGATTGAAGCCTATCTGGAGATGACCGACAAACCGGTCGTCATGGAGATCGACGGCCATTCGGTCGAAGAGTTGCTGGCGGTGGGCAAGGTCTTCACCGACATGTCGCCGCAGATCATCCTCAAGCTCCCCTGCACGCTCAATGGGCTTAAGGCGTTCGGCATTCTCAGGCAGGAAGGGGTCGAGACCTTTTGCACGACGGTCTTCTCGCTGACCAGGCCGCGGCCGTTGCGCAGGCCGGCGTCGACCACATCCTGCCCTTCTGCGATCCGGTGCGCGAGATGGGCGGCGACCCGACCAAGCTGATCCGCGACTGCGTGCGCATGTTCAGCGGCTGGGACGAGCGCCCCTACATCATGGCGGCGCTGGTGCGCTCGGTGGAGACGGCCCACGCCGCCTTCCGCGACGGCGCCGACGAACTGGTCACGATGTGGACGGTCTATCGCGAGATGCTCGATCACCCGCTCACAGACCACTGGAACAAGGTCTTTCTGGACGAGTGGACGCGACATGCATCAGAGCGGGCTGCTGGCAGGTGTGCCGGTGGAGGAACACAACAGTTGAAGCATTGCTGATCAGGAACTCTTTATTGAGACAGTACGGTGAATCTTTAGAGTAAGGCAGGACGCCATCGGGCACGAAAGGAAACTCAGAACCACTTTGGGCCGCGGAGCCAATACTCAAGGAGGGAGATCATGGCAGACATTAGCGCTGAAAAGGATGGCTTAAGCGATGGTATGCCGCGCGACGAGCGCGGGAATTGGCAGCCGGAAGGGGTCAAGTTGCCCAATCCTATTTTCGCCTGGCCGCCCAAACCGATGGAGGCGGCGAAATGGTTGTACAACTACCTCTTTCCCTGGAATTTTATCTATATGGTCATCGCCACGCTGACTGTTCTCTATCTGCAGCCGGAGATGTCCCGCATGACGAGTTTCAGCGCCGACTGGATCCTTTATATTTTCGTACGCAACCAGATCATGTTGATTGTGATTGTCAGCGCGTGGCACCTGTGGCTGTGGGCGCGCAAGTCGCAAGGCTTCCAGTTCAAGTACACGCCGGATTGGATGGCAAAGGGGAAGAAGCAGTTCCTGGGCGGCAACCAGCTATTCGACAACATCTTCTGGAGTTGCGTTAGCGGCGGCACGATCTGGACAGCCTACGAGGTGATAACTCTGTGGCTTTACGCTAATGAGTACATTCCCTACCTGGATCCGCGCGCGCATCCGGTCTACTTCGTCCTCTTGTTGTGTGCCATTCCTTTGTGGCGGCTGTTCCACTTCTACTGGACACACCGGCTCCTGCATTGGCCGCCGCTCTACAAGGCCGGGCACTTTCTGCACCACCGAAACATCAACGTCGGCCCGTGGTCCGGGCTGTCGATGCATCCAATTGAGCACATCCTATACTTCAGTTGCGCGGCGATTCACTGGATCATCCCGTCACACCCGATTCACGTTGTGTTGAACCTGCAGCACGCAGGTCTCACACCGGCGCAGGGCCATGTCGGCTTTGAGGCGGTCATCGTCAACGGCAAGTACAACCTGGCGGGGGCATCTTATTTTCATCAGTTGCATCACCGCTACTTCGAGTGCAACTACGGCGAACGGACATGCCTTTCGACCACTGGTTCGGCACCAGCCACGACGGCTCAGACGAGGCGCACGAAGAGATGCGGGCCAAGCGATTTGCCCAGCACAAGATCCGGACCTCGGCCGTGTAACCATGGCGGCAATTATGTCGACCGCGACAATGATTTCGCATTGATGGAGATTTCAGATGACCCAACCTACGAGAATCGGGATTGTCGGCTGCGGCAGCGTGATGCAGCGCCTTACATGAGGCTTATCCAACCGATGCGGGCGTGGGCACGGTCGACGTTACGATTGCCTGCGACGTCAGGGAAGATGTGCGGGAGGTAGTCCAGGACAGGCTCGGCATTGAGCGATTCACGACCGACTACGAGGAGGTTATCGATTCCGAAGAGGTCGACGTGGTGATGGTGTTGACCTCGATGCGAGAGCACGGTCCGATCACGCGTGCGGCGCTGGCGGCGGGCAAACACGTCCTGGTCGAGAAACCGATGGCCGTAACCCTAGAGGAAGCGGCAGAAATCGTCGAGATGGCCCGGCGCAGCCCGGGCCTGCTTGTCTGCGCCCCACATGTAGTGCTGAGTTCCACCTATCAGACGATGTGGCGCCACATTCACGGCGGAGATATCGGAAAGGTGTTAATGGCGCGCGCCCGCTACGGCCATTCCGGGCCCGATTGGAGACCTTGGTTCTATCTCAAAGGCGGCGGCGCGCTGTTTGACCTGGGCGTTTACAACATCACCTGCCTGACGGGCTGGCTGGGACCGGCCAAGCGGGTGATGGCAATGACGGGCGTGGCGATTCCCGATCGCGTTGTAGGCGGTGAGATGATGCGGGTGGAGGCCGAGGACAACGCGCACGTGCTGATCGATTGGGGCGAGTCGGTATTCGGGTTGTGTCGACAGGATTCACAATGCAGAAGTATCGAAGCCCGGCTCTCGAGGTCTATGGCAGCCAGGGCACGATCCAAATGATGGGCGATGATTGGAACCCTACCGGATATGAATTGTGGCGCAATGACGTAGGCGCGTGGCAGATACACGAAGGTACGGACAGAGACTGGCAATGGACCGACGGCTTGCGCCACCTCGTAGACTGCATCCGCAACGACAAGACACCTGACATCAAGCCGGAGCACGCATTTCATGTCCTTGAAATCATGCTCAAGGCGCAGGAATCGGGCGGCGACGGGCAGGCGAAAAAGATGATCGAGAGATCTTCACGCCGCCTACATTCGAGGAAGAGCAGGAGGAAGTAGCGCCGCACAAGGTTCACGACTGGACACAGCGCTGATGAGTTATTCGGCCTCGCCGCGGCCTACTTTTGACGGCCCGTCGCACATCCCGTACGAGACGGTTACGCGCCATCTCTGGGGCGACGAAGAGTCGGGGGAGGTGGCGGACTGGATATATGTGTCCAGCGCCAAGATCCACCAGTTGGTCTTTGGGCTGGCCCCGGCGGGGCCTTTAGACACTCGGACGCCTACCGAACCATCTTCGCCGGCGATGAAGTGTTGTACGTCCTCAGCGGGGTGATGGTGCTGAATAACCCTGAGACCGGCGAGGTGCATCGAGTGCTACCGGGAGAAGCGGCCTTTCTTCCGACGCGACACGTGGCACCATGCATTCAACTTCAGCCCGGAACCGCTGCGTGTGATCGAGTCTTTGCGCCGCCGCCTTCCCAGGGCACGTCGGGATCATACGCGCAGACGAAGCCGAACCTGACGGCGCCGCCAAGTATTCGCAGGATCAGTGGATTGGCCGGTGGCCGAAATCGCAGGCGGAAGCCGAGGCCAAATATACGATACGGGTAGTGCGCGAGGCGGATCTGCTGTGGCGGCTGGAGGGGACGGAGCAGCAGCTGCTGGTGGGAAATCC